TGATAGCTGATTATCATGCTTGATAATAATTAAGTAAGCCCAAAAAAATGAAGGCATACTAACTTGAGATGACATGATGACTTCACTTTATTAATTTTTTGTGTTATTACGCGGTTTACTCATTCTGTGGAATTTTAGACAGCATCAAGTGATGTGAGAGAAAGGCACGCGTCAAAAACAATAGGTTTGCCTCACTCGCTCTGATATGATCACACCGAGCTACCCTGCTGTATCTATTGTTTGCGTTATCTGGTCAGCGACTTGCCAAACAAGAGGACTTCCTTTCCTTTCTAAAAAAGTTGGCAATTAATAAGAGAAAATTTACGCCACATGTTGGGCTCGGACTCACCACGTCCAAAGTGTAAAGCAATACAGTAGTCCGTTGTTCATCTTTCGTCAAAGGGTATAATTTACAGGCATTATCTTGCGCTTTATCGAGTGATCTTGTGCAATTCTTCTAGCATGAGTGATGTTTAATGTTTTCCATTAAACGATGTCGTCTGTTCATAGTCGTCTTGGAGTTCCTCTTGGTTTCCATCCTGTAGTCCAGTCTACTGGAAGTACGTTTTCATGCAGGCTTCATTCCTTTTCATAATATGATTAAAATACCGTTGTTTTTGCCTCTGAGTGTTTTTCGCAGTGGCATTCAAACATTCGACCATTTTTAGCATATGATCATGGAGTATCTTCTTCTTCTTCTTCATCATCTTCGTCTTTTAATGCAAGGCCAGAGTTTTCAGTTAGTTGATTGACTCCAGTGTAACATTCCCAATGTTTTTTTATACTGCCATTGAACTTCCGGATGCGCATTCCGAAGCAATATATGGTTACCATTCTGGTTGGCGTTCATCGTGAAGTGCATCAGCTTATGGTTGCAGCGTGAATAACGCTAATGTACAATATTAATTAAGCAAGCTGACTGGCCTGCAAGTTCATAAGCTAAAAATTGCATTGCGATATCTGAATGGTGTGCTAATAAGTACATGCATGAACAGTAGCCTTCACTGGAGACGAAACCAGGAAATCGTTAATTTTGGGACGCAAACATTTCACTGTGTAATGAATGAGATTGATACTGATGCCAAAGGAGCTGAAAATGCCAGCGTAATATTTACACTGCTGAACAAAGGCTTATTTGAGCAATTAGAGGTCAAAATATTGTCCATTTGCGTTTTGTCACACAACGTCACGTCTAGCTTAAGTTATGCTTATGAAAATAAGCTTCTATCCTTTATTTGACCTCTCCATAAATGTGAGTCAACGCTCTTCCAATATTATTTATTTTTCTTTTTTTGTTTCAACCGCTAATAAAATAATTTGATCATCTGATCATCCCAGCATGTTTTTTGATATCCGACTCGATGCTGGTCTAGCGGAACTTATAAACTGAGTTTTGACGTTGACCGGTCCATCTTCTCTGAGGGATTTGTCGCAGGCGACAGAAATCACGCATATTAATCCGCATTGTCCAATTGTCGAATTTGTGTCCTCGGAAACTGATCCCGGAAAGTCATCTTGCATAATTTTCGCTCCTTCGCTCTTTGTCTGACCATCAGTTTTTTCTCCTCGGCTCTACTTACCGTACAAAAAGCACCTTAGCACATGGCCGGTAGCATTATTTAATCGAACAGTTCTTTCTTCTTTCTCATTGGCAGCTCACTGCCGAATAATGATGCTTAAACATGATTAAAACCAGCCCATGCCGCTTTGGCTGATTTCTCCGTCTAGCAGGTTCCTGCGGTTTACCTGGCGGCCGACGTATGTACAGCTACTGACTTCGTCGAGTTACCTGCCATTCGCTTACACTGAACCACCAGGATAGTGATCGCCTGGCATCGCTTTTGTCTTGGAGAGGTTAACCACCAGACCAATCGCAGGAAACCCTTCTTCTTGCAACTGCACAATCTTCTGTCAAAGCTCCTTCATGTTTTGGGTGAAGACGATGCAGTCGTCTGCAAGTGACGCGTGCGCTAACTGTTCCCCGTTGCACCAGCTTAGCCGGATGAATGGTGATCCAAAAGCCGCCTCTAAGGGCACTGATAAGATGGTATATCTTTGGCACAGTCTTCGCAGTGTTCCGTTTCTCCAGCAGATTGACGCAACCAGGGTATACGCCATGTTCATGCGTTATGCACAACCGTCAATTCCACCTAATGTATGCCTTCTTCTAGTCCATGAAAGCAAATCACGGTGGCACATGGCACTCTTTGCACTTCTTTGTTGGCCAATGGATGGCATGCATATGGTCGATGGTAGAAAACCCTGTTCGAAAGCCGGCCTGTTCCTGACTTGTGATCAGATACAATTCCTTTGAAGTATGGTTGAGAATGATGCAGATGGACTTTGTAGATGTTCGATAGGGATATAATTGGTCGATAGTTCTTGAAGATTCTTGTCTTCATTTGAGGATTCATTCTTGATGACTTTTACACTATAGGTGTCTTGTATTTTTGTGTATTCCGTGCATTTTTGGCAAATGCATGAAACAAGTTTGTTGCTCTTGTTTGAGATGTTCTGGCATTATATCGTTTTTAATATTTCTTACTGTCCACCCTACTTCATTCCAGGTGACTTCGGGAACGGCTTCTGGGGCACCATGTGGCAACTTCTTATTCACACGTACTTGGAAGAGTAGAGGTTGTGGTAGAACTTTGTTTGTGATTACTAGTTATTGCTCATCTTTCATCAGAAATTACTTTTTAGGCGAATATCTTATTTCACGACTTGCAAGCTTTTCTTGCGTTTCGTAGCCCTCTTACAGTGGAATTTTCCTGTAATTTTTGTAGTTTTCCTTCACTTCTTCCATATTGTTTTCTGCCAAGCGCAGTATACATGGGGCACTTTTCTATTCAACATTTAGTCGGGCTCTTTTAGCCATCAGATGCCTTGTTGAAAGGTTGATGCACTGGTTTCTCGTTGAATTTGTTATTTAGTCTGATGTTCTTAATGGCACTGACAAAATGGTCATAATCCGCATCTCGTCCCTCGCTTATGTTCATTTCAAAGTGCCTTAAAGACAGCTTTTCAGCGATTGCCCCCGGATCGAATCCTGCACATGACGGGGATCTTTCAGCTTTCTGATCCGCATATATTTGGCGACATCGATTGTAACTGTGAAAGGAAAATGTCTGTGGTCTGACCAAGAAAAGACGTTGTTTTCACCTATAACCGACACGTCTGATATTATTCGCTTCTAATCCTTCATCGAATCATCGATTTGGTTCCTTGAGGGTTTGTCCATATCCACTGCCGCTATGGAGGTTTCCCGAAAGCAGTTTTCATCACGTAAAAGAGGCTGCTTTCAGCGAAAGTTTCGAAGCGATCTCCTGGTTTATTTGCTTCGCCTCTTCCCCATTTGCTGATGAACACCTCCGTGTAGTTGTGGTTGGTTGTTTTACCTGACAGCTACGTCGTAGTCTCTTTGACCAATCGTGTACCTAATCTTCATCTCCATTACACCGTCTAATTCCTCGTAGAATTGATCGATGCCTTCATCTTCAGCTTGTTCGCGTAGGCTCTAAACTCGGGTTATTTCTATTGTTCTTAGTTCGTCCATTTGTGGAAGTAGAACTCCTAAATGAGGTAGTATGATATCACAGCTCAATAAAACGATACAGCCTTTCTGTACATGACGAACACATGCCGCCAATCCGAGCTGGGTTCTCGAAGGCCTTCCCGAGAAACAATGGCATTGTTCCATCGTGCAACAAGTTCGGTAGACCTTCAGATCTCGTATATTCCAATGGCTTCCCTCCATCCTCCGTTTCCGTGATATAGACGTCGATAAATGTACGTATCGATGGCTCTCTTGCATCAGTGCTGACCAAGAAAATCTTGATCACGTTCCGGGTCCGTTTACCAATTGCGTCCTGTAATTTGTCGAGTCGTAGGTGTTGTTCTCGCCGACGTCGTCGTCTGCTCCTATTTTCTCGATGCCCGCCCTTGTGTCCATGAGCGTTTTTTGGTGAGTAATTGCTTCGCTGTTCCTTCGGGGTGCCAACATTCCCCAGCTTTCACCCTGTTCAACGGATTCGTACAAGTGGAACACCTTGTGAGGTCTTAACTGCAGCAATACCACCGCCTCCTCCTTCAGAACCGGCTTCTCACCCTACTTTGATGTCCTCCCATAGCATGAGTCATTTGGCCCATTTTTTGATTGAAAATTTTTTTCGAACTATTATCGTAACGCCTTTCTCAATCCAGAGCGTTGAGTTAGCTTTACCTTCTTATGTTTGTGGATATCCGAAACATATCATGATCCCCAATCCTCTACCATTATGAATGTGATTAAAGAGTTTCATTTTATTATAGGTCTATCTTAACGATGTGCAGCGAAATGTCAGCCGTCGCATACCATTGTCCGGAGCTCATCTATCATAATGACAGTGCAGAGTACGCGCTCAGTATTTCTGAGCTTGTATCTGGCCTTTTTTATGATAAGGACATACAGTCAGAAATCTGCCATGGTCGAACCGGTATTAGTTTAATTCTGTGATGTGATGAAAACGATCTGGTAGATTTTCGACGCCATGCATGAAATAAAATAAGTTTATCAAATGAAAAACTGTCTTAGTCATCTGAATGAAAAACTTCTATATTCATACATGTATTTTGCGTCACCTTACTGCGACTGCTTGATGGGGGGGGTCGTTCGATCAGCCACTGTCCAGAAACGAAATTCCGTGAAAAACAGCATGACCGTAGATGTTAAAAATTTATTTTGTCATTGACTTTTTTGATTTGATGCCTTTCTGGACATTCAGAAGCCGAAGTTTACTTCGACATGATCCTGCTAGCATGAAGCGGTTGAGTCAATACCTTTGAAATGTTGCATAATGCTGTTAAATTTGCTCATATTGTCTTATTCATTACTGGTGCAGATGAAGAATTAACTGAATTTTCTTTAGCATATGTTTTATTCTGCAGCGATTGAGTATTTTGTACGTGCTCTTCTCGTCATATTTGTCATTTAAGTGCTCTATGCACAGAACTGATCTATCAGGTGATAGATTAGTTCCAGCGTTGAAACTGTATCTCACGAACGTTTTGGAGGTAAAGAAAGTTTTGATTTTACACCGATGTTTTTATCGTTATATAAGTGTTTTGGATGAGGGAAGGGATTATACAGCACGTACCACAGTAAAGGTGTTCCTCCAGTACTGATACCGTTGCCGAAAGACACCAACTGAACAGGCACAGGGAAAAAATACACAAAATCCAATCCTGTGATACTCTGAGCAGTGCGGAATGATACGACTGCGATGTAGATTGAGAAGGCTTGCTTGCATTTGCTGTCTGACAAGCTGTTAAGGGGACAACACAGCTATAGTTACTTATTACAAGCAGTATGAAAACAACAAATAAACCAATGTTGTCTTTTGCCTGACGGTTTCTGAGGTACAGACCGAAACGTTGGTGCTGGCCCATTACCCAATAGACAATTCCTAATGTCGTGCTGTAAACAAACAGTGTTTATTGTTGCGTTTTTCACCTTCCTCAAGTGTCTCCTGTCAGAGCGTTTCTAATGAGGATAGCATCGGTTTTCAAACTCAAGCTGAGAAATTTCCTTGCATAGTCGGTGGGACCATCTCCTGATTGGCATCATAAGCACGCTGAAAAGCGTTCGTATAAGCCATTGATCCCCTTGGTTCCTTGTTAATTATGGCGTTAGAAGCTGCAGTGAATCGTGAGGTCGTGGCTCTCAATAATATTAGTAATTTCGCCGTTTCTTTTTCAACCACTGCTGATCGACTAAGCTGATTTTTCATATAAATTGCGACACCTTTCTGTTTGACAAGATTTCTATATTGATTGCTGTTCGTTAGATATATGAGCTTCCGATTTGTTCATTACAGTATTTTTCTGAGAACACCTTGTTCTCTTCGGTGCAGTTTTTCAAACTCTGATGTCGTCGATTGGCGTCCATCATCGACTAAGCGCGAGAAACTCACAACTTCGAACTTCCAGAACCTTCTATTAGGTACTTCTGTGCTTCTACTGATACGCTATTGCACTCATGAACTCATTCATTTAAGCATATCTTGTTTTGTACAAATTGCTGGCTGGCGCGCATGCGCCTGCGGCTAATATATTCGGACAGAAACTTGGGGTGGAAGCTTCCTGCTCTCCCTGCACCAAGAGTACACTTACATCCTGTTCTTGTATTGCAGCCAAAAACCGGATTAACAATAACGACCTTCGTAGTAGGAAAGCGTTTTAGAATGCTTCAGTGTGAGTACTTCTAATGAGTAGTGACGCGAAGTCTAGATTCTTCTCATCTACAAGGCAGAACTGTAGGTTTTTTTCTCAACTCAAACTAATGCATTTTACTTCACTTCGGCAAAACTCGCTCGTGTCAGAAATTACGGTTGAATGGCGTGGGAGAAACTGACACCCTAAGCTCTGAAATATAAATTCTCCGGTTTGTTTGAAGACGTGCTCTGCGTCGCTCGCTCTTCGTATGCTTGACGATGGCCAGCAGATCACGGTGATTATGGTCCATTCGAAATGCAGGGAAGAGTCTTCTGTGGATCTGACGAAATCATCATAGCTACGAGCTTTCATGGATACCTTTTCGATCCCTTCCAGGTAAAAGAAGGATGAATTTGACGCTTCCCAGTGGCAGCCACTTTGCACAGTCCGTTTTCTGTTTCGCTGAGCTGGTAGCGGTGCATCTGGCTGATGGTACTTCATGCTCTTCAACAGTGCTGCATTCGTTCACATGAGGTAACCGTTTCACTCTATTTTTTATTATTGCGACCATCGGCAACATCAAAATGCGCCATGTGGGCTTTCGGACACTTGTGCCGCTGGCGGCGATGAATTATCCCAAAATTGGTGGCCTACTCGAGCAAGCTGTTTCGTCCTGTGGT